GCATCCCCGACCCGAAAACTCAGTTTTTTACTCACGGTCTACTACCCTATGACACCTATATCAAAAAATCGCTGCCTACCCAAAATACACGGTTATCTCTTTTTTTAATGCCGAATTTGTTGAACTATATGTATATGTATATGTGACCCATGCTTACTTTCATATATTCCGAGTTAAAAAAAAAAAAACGCGGTATCTAAGTGAATGGTGCTGTAAAAATTATATTATCGACAAAAGCTGTCGTCACATCATCTCTATCAGTTGCTAATTTGTAACACTCCATCAATAATGCGACAAATGTATTCAAAACTACGATCTCGTCGAGTATAGGCCATCTACGAAAATAGTAGTTTTATGACTATGACTCTTTCGCCACCTCTGTCAACGAATAATGCGGCTTATTAGATGCAAATTTATAACACCACCGCAAACTTAGGTAGCAGCTCTTTGTTGGTTATCTGTTTAGAGGTATTAGTTAAGATGCTTTTTCTTCGTAAACGAAGGGTTTGGAACAGCTAAACTCATAAAACCACAATTTCCGTGGATGACCTATAACATGCTTTGCGTTTTGGAGTGGGAGTAAATGTAAGCTCCTGCTTGACGTCTTTTCTCATCTCACCAAAGTGAGGACGAGCCGAACCGGGTTGCATTTCTTCCGAAAACACGCGTTCTCTCTTGTCGTTTCCTAGCAAAGTTTTTTAATCCACAGTGTCGCAATTTTTTACACACACTTACGGAAGGTTAGTTGGTACTATTCGAATTTTTCGAAAGGGCCGTCGAATTACAAACGTTCCTTTTAGGCCAATTTTAATTGGTTTTATTAATTTTTATTGTAACAATCAGTTAACAGATTTAAACAATTCAACGTTCAGTTAAATTTGGAACTACTTTTAAGTAATAATTGGTTGATTAAAAAAATCGTAGCTCATTGCACGGGTTACTTTCGATGTGGGTAAAACCTCCTCTTAATTTTTCGTAATAAGTAGATTACTTTACTAAACTGGCTACACATATCGTCTACAAGACGTTTCTAGTTAAGGTTGGAATTGATGATACCTAAAAATGTTGTGTTGCTGTTTGGGTTATCGGGATTTATTATACTGGTAGGGTTACACGTTGTAAATGTCATTTTTGTCGTTTTGCTTTCATAAGTGTGAGTGTATTTGCTTGAAATGCTCAGAAGAACAACTTACACAAATGTCACAATTATTCTGACGCGACCTCATTGCCACAATATTCGAAAACCGTTTTAAGATTTTTTGCACTATCTATATTTGAAAACAGTAATACGCACCTCAGAACTTAGAAAGATAAATGCACACCATACCTAGCAGTCTGTTTTTTTTTTTTTCAAAATAAGTATATCACCATTTTTGAAACTTTTTAATTAGAACTGTTCTACAGAACGACCGTATGGTAAAAAGTGTAAAAAAGGCAACTTATAGATGTAATTACACTAAATTGATATTTTGTTTTCCAATAAATGTGTAGGGAACCTGTTTAAGATATTCATTTACAGAAAAAATATCTATAAATGACGAAATGACGGTCGGAGCAGTAAATTTAGTGATGCTCCGGTACACGACATAAAAGCCGGTGAGGCCACTTGATCTCTATAAAATAATAAAATCAACGTGTCTTAAATATAAAATAGGTAAGTCGTAAAAACGTTACCGTTTGATTTACAGTAAATTATCGAAGAGAAATATTAAGAGGAGATGTTTCCCTAGTTTATAGAAGTATATACGTATATTTAACAATCTGTACTGGGTACATCATTATTTTAGTAAAAACTCACATATTAATAAGAATATCTTGTATTATAATCCACCATTTACTGTGTTGTAAGATGTGTACCACAATGTGAGTTCTTACAGTATCGATAGTCTAGTTGACATGAAGTAAATCAGATTAACATAATAAATTATGCATGCTCCATGAACAGAGAAATAAATCAATGACTTCTAAATGTCGTGACATAAAATTTTATGGGTAGGTTATCCTGTTCAAGGTAGATACTATTTTTGGACTAAGTGCACATATTCCAACAAGACCTTGCGGTAAATTTGCAAGTGGGTAATAAATATAAATTATAATAAACATTTTCTAAATGACTCAACTTTAACAATTTGTTTCATTTAAATGCTAAATGATTAAAACAATAAGGATATTTTCGGAAACATGCAAACAGTATTAAATTAGTAGTGTCACCGGTATTCATCAATACACAGAACAAGTGTTCTGCATGTAGTGCACGTAAGCATTCTGTTTTAAAATGGTTTTGTACTTTATTACATTTTACGTCATTTGAAATGCAAATTCAAGGTGCTCTAACTTAATAATTAATAGCTTAATGGAGTTCCACATAATATAATTTATTATTAATCAAGAAGCAACTCAAGTTACGGTTTACCCACACTGTAACAATAATTTTCAAAAACAAAAATTGGATATAATTTTAATTAGATAGCACAGCATTAAAAATTTAAGTACATAAATGCAAAAATTTAATGTACAGTGAAACCTGTCTATGCCGGACTCTGTAGAAGGCGGAAAACTGCTCATCGCGGAAATTTTCCGCAGTCCCGTTTTTTCAAATACCCAATTTAATGTATTTTGGTCCGTATAAGCCGGAAACTGTATAACGCGGAAACGGAAAATATTTGTAAGTCCCAACGTGTCAAAATACATGCACCCAACTCTGTGTAAAACGGAAGCGAGAACAAAGTTGATGATTTCTACGAAAAATATATAATTCAATTCGTGGACCTGCAGGTGCATTTTTTGTCAACAGGAAATCACTGTTCTCAATTCTCATTTAATTGGTGTCTCTCGTGGTTATATGTGTGTTCGCAATGGCCCAAAAAAACACCAATAATAACAACAAAATGGATTTAATTAACGTACACAAGCAGCAAAATTTGAGTGTTAAAGAAATTTGCAAAAGTTCGGTTGTAAAAAACGCAAGTGTATCAAATTATAAGACATCCTAAAATAAATTAGAGAGTAATGGCAAAGCGGTGAGTGTGTAGCCAACCTTTTGCAGTTGAGAACAAGCATGGAAAATATATCTTAATGAGCGAAAAAGCAAATAACCATAAACAACTATTTCAAATAATTCTTTTATATGTACCTATGTATTCAATTTAATAAAAATTGATTTCCGTTTTATAGAGGTTCACTTTCCGTCATAGGCGGGTTTCCTGTAAAAGCCGGAACCCTGTTTAAGACGGATAAAAATTTTGGACCCGCGCGATTCCGGCATAGACAGGTTTTACTGTATTTAATTTCGTAAAAAAAATGACAATGCAAGATATATTAAGCAATTTGGTACATTGTAGTTAATTACTATTTGTAGTTTGTTTTTTGTTATTTAATTGGTAATAAATAACTACTGTTAACATTTGAGTCTCTTCTAATGGATGTAGTATAATTGCAAACAGTTTAATTATTGCAAAAATAAACCGGCCACCCGGAAATATTTCGCAGAAGCACTTTAAAAATTATTAATTTAGCTAGTGATTGTTATTTTATTAAACAACCGTTTACTGTGGGCACGGGAAGTACAAATTAGCTGACACAAAACAAATAAATAAATATAGAATTAAATTTAATTTAAGAAATTAACAAAAACAATGCGAAACTTCAGGGCGGACGATTTTTTTTGCCGGTCAGTATATGTGTTATGAATCGAAGGTAAAATAAACGAACGCGATTTTAGACAACTTCTTCGACCTTCTATTGTTACCCATCTATAAAAAGCGAAATTTTGATTCGTAAAGTATGTTGCTAAATCATTGATATCGCTTTTATTGTTAGTATTCGTTATTCATTCATAATTCATTAATTCATAAAATATATTGTAATAATCATATACATGAATAAATTTTATAACAATTGCAACACAACAAAGTATCCGAAAATATTTTAAAATACTTCGCTTAGGTAAGTTTTTCCTTTTCAGTTTCAGTATTGCCAAAGACTTCCTTTTGTGGATTTTATGAAACTTTGTTCATTTCAGTGTATACAGATAAATATTTTAAAATTGTTATTAGTTTTTGAATTTCACGGAAAGAAAAAAATCTTGTAAATGTAGTCATCCTAAGAAGTGAAATAAACGTTTGTTGTCTTTTCCGTCCAATCCATTTTTCCGGAATTTTTTTATTAAACCAATCTCTCGCTTCTGCAGCGTATTTTTTTTTTCTTGAACTGATGCAGGTTTTCATCACTTCAAATGTGTCAACCAATTGAGGTTCCTGTCTAATTTTTCGGCAGACCTATTCACAAAAACGAAGTCTACATGGAAAATTTTCAGGTTTCAAATGCGGAACCCGTTGTATGAGCTAAAAATATAAACCTTGTACAGTTCTTCATACCACAAGTGGTGAAATTTCTACGCGACAAGATAATCATCTGATGCTTATCCCTGGAATGTCTTTAACGACATTCAAGATTTTTTCTTCAGCTGCAAGCACACGTTTGCTTTCACGACCACGATCGCTGGGGTTCAAAGCTGTTTTCTCGTAGCCGCTGAACAACGGCGGCAAAGGTTTTGGGCTCTCCGTCCAGGAAATGTTTTATGGTATTGTGGGGGCTGGAAAGTCCCACAAAATTGTATAATATGTTTATAATTGTTTATATTCTATATACATATATTTACTTCCAACCAGTATTCCCCTGAAATTTTCTCTTTGACCACCTGCATGTCGTAAAACCTATCTTTTGTTCACCCTTCTCAATAATCTTTATCCTTTCAAGTTTTCGAATACCTTCCTAGAGCCCTCTCACACAACTGTTTTCACCGCTCTCTATCGACCTGTCTTTTCAAATCAAAATTACAAACTCTGTCACTCTTCCCTCATCCGCTGAACCAACAACCGACGTGAGTTTTTTTTTTTAGCAACGTAAGTGATAAGTGTATACACAGTGTCTGCGTTTTCGGCGTTCCAACGTAATTCGCTCTTCGCCCACCCTGTTTAATACCACGTGTGCACCGTATAATGATGTTGCCGGAAAACGAAGATTTAACTAACCCAGGCCCCACCACTAGAACGGACCAGCTGGAATTCATGCTGACAAAAGTGCTTGTAGAGCTCGGGATCATAAATATGAATTCTGCAACCCCCAAACACCGCAACAGTTCGAGATCACACCATCGTTCGCGCTCATCGTCACGTTCGCGTTCCCGAGACCGACATCAACGAGAAGGCGACACCTTCTGGTACCACTGGCGCTTTGGAGAAAACGCCAGAAAATGCGAAAAGCCCTGCAGGTTCAGAAGCGGGAAACGACGGGGTCAGTCCTTGATGGCGACCGACGACGAAAGCCACACCTTCAGCCGATTATTCGTCGCCGATCGTCACACAAAATTTCGGTTCCTGATCGATATCGGAGCTGACTTGTGCGTCTTCCCACATTCAAAACTGCCAAAACCGCGAGCACAGTCTAATTACGAACTCTCCGCGGCAAAAGGCACAACCATCGCTATATCCATTATTGGTGCCGACTTCCTAGCCCATTACGGACTCCTGGTAGACATCAAAATTACCCGACTTTTGGACCAAATCACTCATCTCACCTCCCGTGGAGAGGTGGTCGTGTGTGAGTCCCAAACAATCAAAACGATCGCCGGATCATCACCATACCACCAGCTCCTGCAACGATTCCCGGAAATAACGCGACCTAACGGTACAGTTGAAGTTGCTAACCAGGCTACGAAACACCATATCGTAATCATTCCTGGACCGCCGGTCGCGCAAAAACCGCTACGACTCGCGCCCGACAAGTGTGAATTTGAACTCATGATGCACATGGGTATCGCCCGCCCATCGCAGAGTTCATGGTCGTCACTCCTACATGGGGACGAGTGGAAGCCGTGCGGGGACTACCGCGCACTCAACGCCAGAACAAACCCAGATCGCTACCCGGTAAAACACATCTAGGATTTTTCTCAGTCGCTGTCTCGAAAAACAAGGCTTTCTAGCATCGATCTGGTACGCGCATTCAATCAGATACCGGTCGCCGAAGAAGGTATTTCGAAAACAGCCATCACGACACCCTTCGGGCTATTTGAGTTTATGTGCATGACTTTCGGGTTACCCAACGCGGCGCAGACCTTCCAGCGCTTCATTGATGAGGTACTACAAGATTTTGACTTCTGCTACGCGTTCATCGATGACATCCTCGTCGTATCGACGTCCCCGGAAGAACATCTCCAACACCTCGAAACACTTTTCCAGCGACTGCAGAAATACGGAGTTGTTGTCAATCCGGCCAAGTGTGTTTTTGGAAAAATCGAAGTAAAATTTCTCGGTATCTAATCTCCTCTGCTGGTATGCGCCTCTTACCCGACAAAGTGGAAGCCATCCGCGCGTACTCGCGCCCGAACACTGTCAAGCAACTGCGCCAGTTCTTGGGGATGGTGAATTTCTTCAGCAAAGTCCTGCCCAAGGCTGCCGAAAATCAAGCACCGCTCAGTAATCTCCTCCAGGGCAACGCAAGAGCAAAGACACCGGTCGAGTGGACACCTGCAGCCACCCAGGCATTCGAAACGTGCAAGGAAAGTCTTGCTGAGGCGACCTTGCTTGCTCACACCAACTCCGGCGCTACGCTGGCCATTTTTAGCGATGCTTCCGACCACGCCCTCAAGCAATTTGTCGACGGCGCCTGGCAGCCACTCGATTTCTTTTCAAAGAAATTAAGCCTCGCCGAATCCACGTACGGAGCATACGATTGCGAACTACTCGCAGTATACCTGGCAGTCAAGTACTTCCGACACATGGTGGAAGGTCGTTCGTTCACAGTCTACACGGACCACAAACCCATCACCTACGCCTTCAGGAAGAAGAACCAACAGTGCTCACCCCGACAATTCCGGCTCTTGGATTTTATCAGCGAGTTTACCACCGACATTCTCCACATCTTCGGAGAAGACAACATTGTCGCTGACGCTCTTTCCCGAATTAACGAGCTTGAATCCACCCTCAACTATGAAGCCCTCGCACCCTCGCAACAGGAAGACGATGAATTGCAGAGTTATCGGGAAAACAACTCTGCACTGCAACTTCGATTGGTTCATCTTCCCGACACCAAGGCGACCAGCACGAGGACAGCGCGGCCATTCATAACCAAGCCATTCCGAAAAGCAGCCTTCAACACCGTGCATCGACTTTCACACCCCGAAGCAAACGCGACACTCAAACTCGTAACCCAGTGTTACGAGTCGATGAAGTCCGATTGTAGGCTGTGGGTCCGCAATGCCAGAAGTCAAAAATCTCACGCCACGTTTCTGCGCCCATCGGCTCCTTTCCTTCGGCCATATTCGAACACATCCACATCGACAATATCATAATGCCTCCATCGGAGGGGTACAGGTACTGCCTCACCATGGTGGATCGTTTTAGTCGGTGACCGGAAGCAGTCCCAATGCCGGATCAGGAAGCCTCCACCGTAGCACGCACCCTATATCACAACTGGACTTCGCGATTTGGCACGCCCCTTCGGATTACCACAGACCGCGGCAGACAGTTTGAGTGGCATCTTTTTAACCACCTAAACCGGATAATGGGCACAACCTACCCGAAGACATCGCCAACTGAAAGCAGCGATCATGTGTCAACAAAATGTACGCTGTCCACCGTATTATTGGGCATCCGTTCCTCCTGGCGAGAAGACCTCCAGGGTACAGTCACCAAGATGCTATACGGCTAGTCTCTCCGTCTTCCCGGAGAATTTCTCGGGTTACACCGCTCCGACGACGACACCAACAACCCTGTCGAGTTCGTGAGAGAACTCCGCCAGCACATACGCAACCTCCTCCCTAGTGAAGCATTACGACACAACAAAGGGAAAATCTTCGTATTTAAAGACCTAGCCACCACGGACTAGATGTGGATACGTCGCGGCAGCCCTAAACAACTTCTGCAGCAACCCTATGATGGTCCCTATGGAGTTGTGAGCCGGAAGGACAGAACATTCGTGGTCCACGTCAATGGACGCAACGTAACTGTTTCCATCGACCGACTCAAACCAGCCTATTACGATCACATTACCAGGACCGGTAGATGCGTCCGTTTCCCGGATCGGCTCCAAGGTGGATTTTCGTGGAAAATCTTCATGTTCCAAAAGCGGAACCCGTTATAAGAGCTAAGGATACAAACCTTGTAGAGTTCTTCATACCACAAGATTTTTTCCTCAGCTGCAAGCACACGTTTCCTTTCACGACCACGATCGCTGGGGTTCAAAGCTGTTATCTCGTAGCCGCTGAACAACGGCGGCAAAGGTTTTGCGCTCTCTCTATAGGAAATGTTTTATGGTATTGTGGGGGTTGGCAAGTCCCACAAAATTGTATAATATGTTTATAATTATTGTTTATATTCTATATATATTTACTTCCAACCAGTATCCTTCTCTTCGTCCACCTGCATGTCGTAAAACCTATCTTTTGTTCACCCTTCGCAATAATCCTTATCCTTCCAAGATTTCGAATACCTTCCTAGAATCCTCTCACACAACCGTTTTCACCGCTCTCTACCGACCTGTCTTTTCAAATCAAAATTACAAACTCTGTCACTTTTCCCTCATCCGCTGAACCGACAACATCAAAATAAAAACTCCACAAACGCAAGGACTGTTTTAATCACCTGATCTAAGCAAATTCCTTATGATTTTTTGGGATTACTTAGGAATGAACATTATGGGCAATATTCTAGATTTGAAATTTACATTTTTTTGAAATTACTTGTGATTTTGTTACAGTTGGTTTTGACATTTAACTTTAAATCTAAAATTTTCTAACCTAGTAAGAGGTCATAACTGTGTGTGAGAACACATAAAGTTTGTATGTATCTGTTGTTTACAATACAGTCATTAGTTTTTTTGTTGCTATAATATTGTAGGTGCTACAATGAAGACAAGTCGATCATTACAACACATGCACTATTATTTGTTGCACTTGCTTACGTTATTGTTGTATAAAAGGAATAAAATTACAAAAAACCGCCGACGAAGGTTATGGACTCGAAATTGGCTAAAAAGACGGAACATTGGACGTGGATTATCCACTTTGGTGTTTAACGAATTAGACATAGAAGATAAAACAAGTTTTAAAAAGTTTACTCGAATATCAACAATTACTTTTGAGAACCTGTTATTAAAAGTTGGGCCAAACATACATAAATAAAACTAATACTAGTTTCAGAGAATGTATAGCACCTCGGACTCAGTTATTAGTTACTCTCAGATACCTTGCTAATGAGGAGAGTTTTAAAAGTTTACATTATTCATTTAGAATTTCTGTGCCCTCTCTGTCACTATTTATTCCAGAGTCATTAAATGCGATCTATGAAGTGCCGCAAAGAGATTATTTGTCAACACCAAAGACCAATGGAAAAAAAATTCCTGCAGCTTTTAATGGAATTTTCCACATTGTTTAGGTGCATTAGATGGAAAACACATAGCATTTCGAGCAATGACAATAAACGAGGGTGAATGGAGGAATTTTTAAGTGTGGTTATAATATTATGTAATTACTGCAGTGTATTTTCTACTATAATACCAGCTCTTAGTCCGGGTATCCTCTCTTTTCTCGCTTTATATAATATTTCAGTGATGTCATGCTTAACATCATTTAAGAGTTCTTCATCGTGAATCTCTCTTAATTCGTTAGCAACAAAGTTCCCAAAGATCGTATGCTTATCTTCTTCCTTTGCAAAATGAAATTTATCAATAGTTTGGAGAGTTTTGTGAATTTATGTATCAATGTTATTATTAGGTACATTGCCTTTTCTTTTGGCGATTCGCGGTGCAGGAGCAGAAGGCATTGGAGAAGGAGGCTACAGCTGAGTTTTTCCTTTTCGCCTCTTTGTAAACTGAGACAAAAACAGTAACGATTCGTACCACCAAGGGGTGGGACCACAGTCATCTTCGTCTGTGCTCTGCGCTATCTCCTGATTTGTTCGTCTTTTTTTTATTTATTTTTGCCTGCTGATGGGTAAATTGGGATCTCACTTTTATGCTTTTTTTTTCACTTCTTCCCCGATTATCAAGGGATTTAATGTTTTTAAGGCTTCGGCAATTTTCACAGAGCATCTTGCCTCGCATGCTTATTTGAGTAAAAGCGATGTTTCGTATCGTCTAACTAAGGATTTTGTTCGTATCGCTTTATTAATTCTTCCATTCCATTATCTGAAAAGACGATTATCTCGTTTGTTACAATAAATAACAATTTTTAGATTTTACCTGTTTAGTATTACCATTATCGCCATTTTTTAGGTCGACACTCTGACTATTTTCCATCACTCGTAAAGTCTGTTTTTTTATTATTATAAAGTAATTACTGGGAATAACCCGATAGTGCTCTATAGTATCGAAACAACGTGAGTCGGTGAACCAAAACACAAATTATTGAATTTCTAACAAAACATCAACTGCTGTTCAGGAATGACGCTAAATTTAAAATTCATGATAGCAACGCTGTGAATTGTCATAAGAAATAGCTATACTATTTCCAGCGATAGATTGGAAAATTTTGAATTCACAATCGCCAATCGGAGAATCCAAAATATACTAACATTATACGCTTAAAGCAGTTAAAGAGTTGTAGTTTAAGTTGGCAACCAACGTTCGATTTCCCGCGCAACGAATTTCCTACGCCTCTATGCCTGCGCCAGTCGGCCGGTTTCGTTTAACCTGTGTTTTGGTCGATCAGCTAATTTAAAATTTTGGTTCAAAAAGTTAAAAAGTGTGTTTTTTGCGTTTAGTGTTTGTGTTTTTTTACTTGTTTTGATTTGTTAGGTATGATATTATAGACCTTTGTGCTGTTTTTGGTATACTGGCTGAAGTTTGGAGATTTTAGGTTAAGTTGTTTGTGTCAAAAAACGTTTCATATGGACCCCATGGAAGACATTACGAATAAAATTCATAATTACGCAAGTGACTTGTTGATTTATTCTGTGCAATTATTATATACCATTATATTTTGTACCCCTCTTCAACCCGGTGCAGTATGACTGTTGTTGACAACATCGTGGCACAGAAAATGATTGCCAAAGCGTATTCATTTTTCAAGAAGGAAAATTTTAATTTAAGATGCCCTACAGAGGTTGTTACTTCAATATAAAGTACGTAATGTTATTCGAAATGTATGTTCCAGTATAGATAATATTGTCTGTTGGAAATAAATTGTGTTATTATGAAAAGTAATTTTATGTAGTTCAACATTATTTTCAAATCTCCTTATATTTCAAATAAAGCGCCTTTGGCACTACTTTTTATAGCGGTCTATTTGGTGACTTTTCTGTCAGCTAATCTATCGGTGGAA